TTATAGATGGGGTTGTAAAGGAAGTAATTGTGGGTGTTTTGGGAGGGGGTGGGATTAAATTAGGGGGGAAACAAAATTCAAATGGGAAAATTGACACAGTTATTTTTTTTGATGTACTGTGCTTATGGGAATTCTAAAAAAAAATTGCAAGGTTGTGGATGAGTTTGGGAAGTGTGTAAAAGGTAGAAAGTTGAAAAATGAACAAAAAAGAGTAAGGTGATGGGGTGTCAAAATGATTTAGATAAAGAAAAAATTTGGTTAAATTGGGGGGGGGAGGATAGGGGGAAGTGAATGTTTTCAGATATTGGGAGTTGAGTGTCGGGGATGGATTTATGAAGGATGGGTTAATCATGAAATTTATGGGGGAAAAAAGGTGAGTGGTGCGTTTAGGTTAAATTTGGGGTCAAAAAACGTTATCTATGGAGGCAAAGAAGGGAAGTATGAAAGTATAGTAGTACCAACATCTTATTGGGTGTGAAGCTTGGGTGGTAATGCAGCAGCGAGGAGCGGTTGGAGGCGCGGAGATGTCCCGTTTAGGGCATGTTGGTGTAAAATTTTATGCAGAAAATTCGGGGGGTGTGGAAATTGGAGAAGGTGTGGAGTTAATAAAAAATATTAGTCAGGGGCGAAGAGGGTTGTTGAGGTGGTTTGGGATTTGGGGAATGGATCACAGGAATGACATGGAAGCATTAATCTATGGGGGAGGGGGGGGTAGGGGTCTCCCGAAAGGGTTGGAGAGGGGGGTAAGGAGGTTTTGTGGGTAAGGGGCTTGGACTTCCAGCAAGCGTGCGTGAGGTGTTAGATGGTGTGGAGCGAATGGGACTTGGGACCTGCGATCGTTGGAGTGTGAGCGGGTAAAATTTATGAGGGGTTCAGGGAAACGGTTATTTTCTATAGTCGGACTTGAGTCCCCGGGAAATGGGGAAATACAAAAGCCCCGCATTTAAAAGGGGGGGTTTTTGGGATTTGGCAGTTTGGAGGGTATGTTGTGTACTTTATTGTTTTGCTTCTAGATGTTGTATTCTGGCACCTCTGCAAAAAAAAGTGATAATTGCAGTGTGGTGAAAGTGTTGAATGATGATGAAGATTTTCTTTTTGGGAATTTTTTTCTTTTTTTTGGGCACCTGCCCCGGTGGGAGGGGGGCCGACTTGTTGAAAAAAAAAAAAAAAAAAAAAAAAAAAAAAAAGTAAGAAATGAACTGTATTACATTTTTTTTGCCTGGGATCTTAAATTATGAATATTGGGGGGGTGGGTTTGGGCCCGGTTTTGGGAGTGGGGACTCCATACATACCACCTTGATTTTTTTAAATAAAGTATCTTCACCTAATTTAAAAACTACAAAAAATTTTAAGGAAGTTAATGAGTAAACTGTTATGCATTTTTTTTGCTTGGGATGTTAAATGAATAGAATATTTGTGTAGGTGGGGTGGCTGGTATGGCTGATACCATACATCCACACTTTTAGTTTTACAATAATACACTGGGCTCACCCTGATTAAGTTTTTGAATATTTTAAGGTAATAATGAGTGACTATGTGTGTATTTTTACTTTTTTTTTTTTGCCTTGTTTTTATTGCAAATTAAATATGTTAGTGTAATTGTTATTGTTTTGTATCATTTATAAGTGGAAAAAAAGGGTGTTCCCTTTAGGCGATTTCGCTTTACGGTGGTAGCTGAACTAACCTGCCCTATAAATGGGGCCCTACTGTCACATTTAGGGAAAGCACTGACATTATTTATACAATTATGAAATAAAGCAGTAGTCCATAACGTAAATATCTATTTTTGTGTAATAAAAATTCAAAATAAAAGATCATAATATAAAAGAGGCCCCGAAAGAGTGACTGGGAACAGAGGAATGTTTTTTTTACTGCTAGGAATTTTCTTTTTTATTTGGACCCCATTTTTAATTGGCAATTGTTGAATTTTGTATGAAATTGACCAAATTACCAATTTCTGATCACTTTATTGGGTAGTTGAAATAGGTAATTGAGTGGTTTCTTGTACTCAGTCAATAGAATAGAAGGAATACTAGCAAAATAGCTATGAATTTGGTGGACTGGAACAATGGAATTGGCCAAAAATAGAGCGCAAATTGGGCGAAATCACCAGTTAGTAAACATTGCCGAGACAGCATAATTCTGTTAGTTTCAGTACCTTCGGAAAAAGATTTTTTGTCATTTCATAAGACAAAATAATTTTTTTTAAATTCCCTGGCAGTGAGAGCAAGTTTGAGAGCTGGGTCTTGACATTGAAAGGGTTAGTTAAAAGTAATTAACCCTTTCAGTGTCGAGACCCCTGATCCTGAACTCACTCTTAAGTGTTGAAGAATTTAAAAAAAAAAAATTCTTATGAAATGATAGAGAATCTTTTCCTGATGGTAATGACAGCAAAAATTACGAAATTTTAGGGATAAACTTAACGAAATTAGGCTCTTGCGAAGTTAGCGGTCTCGGTGATATATGTGCATTGGCAATTTTGCCCGTTTTGAGCCCTATTTTCACCCAATTCCATCGTTCCAGTCGACCACATTCATAGCTATTTCTTTAGAACTCCATTTGTTTTATCAATTGAGTACAAGAAACTGCCCATTTATCAATTTCAGCTACCTAATATAGTGGTCAGAAATGGGCAAATTGGCAAATTTCATGTAAATCTCAAAAGATGTCAATTTCAAAATGGGATCCAGAATAAACAATGCAGACATTCCTGGCACTAAAATAACATTTTCTCTGTTCATTAGTCGTGTCTCCAGGCCCCTCTTATATTACTCCTGCTTTCCATTTTGAATTTTTATTCACACAAGAAAATAGAAAATTTACTGTTATGCAGACTACTGCATCATTATATAATTGTATAAATAATGTCAACCTATTTGTGATTGTGTATTAGCATGGCCAGTTGGACATGTATTGGACAGTGACATCATTTGTTTACTCTTCAACATCGGCAAAAATTTAACATTTCCAATACTTTGAGCTCAATTTCAAGGTACTTTTCATCATGAATCCAATCAAAATCGTCTCTGTTTCTGTAATATATCTTCCATTCTGTCAAATGAGACCAATAAAATGAGAATACAGTGGACCCCCGACTTAGGATGTCCTCAACCTACGTTAAAACTGACTTATGATGCTTGTCAGTGTAAAAATTTGACCCTGACCTATGTTGAAAAAATCGGCTTACATCATTCATCCCGAATGCTGCCGTCTGGTCCGGCTGGCCTGAGCGCCTCAGATGAGCTAGTGTGACATTGTTTACAAGACGGGGCAGACGGTTGCACGCATACATTCGATAAATTTTGTATTCAGTGTTTTTAGTGCTTGTGACTGCTAAATAAGCCACCATGGACCCAAAGAAAGCTTCTAGTGCCAACCCTGTGGTAAAAAGGGTGAGAAATACTATTGTTCTATGGTCAGCTGCTGCTGCTGTAGCACCGTCAGCTGCTCCTGCACCACGGTCAGCTGCTGCTGCTGCTGCTGTAGCACTGTTGGTTGCTGCTGCACCACAGTCAGCTGCTGCTGCACCACGGTCAGCTGCTGCTGCACCACGGTAAGCCGTACTAATCGAAGATGTGGAGTGACTGTTATTGGTGTGGCTTATCGAGAATACAGTGGACCCCCACATAACGATTACCTCCGAATGCGACCAATTATGTAAGTGTATTTATGTAAGTGCGTTTGTACGTGTATGTTTAGGGGTCTGAAATGGACTAATCTACTTTACAATATTTCTTATAGGAACAAATTCGGTCAGTACTGGCACCTGAACATACTTCTGGAGTGAAAATATATCGTTAACCGGGGGTCCACTGTACTGAGAAACAATTAACCCCAGTGGATTAGCCACCCAGGATAACCCAAGAAAGTCAGTTTCTCATCGAGGACTGTCTAACTTATTTCCATTGGGGTCCTTGTTCCCCCAGGATGCGACCCACACCTGTCGACTAACACCCAGGTGAACAGGAGAAAATGCCTGGAACTAGTGGTCATATTGGTGAATTTAAGGCCAGCAAAGGTTGGTTTGAGAGATTTAAGAATCGTAGTGGCATACACAGCGTGATAAGGCCTGTTCTGGAAAAAAAATGCCAAACAGGACCTACATTACTCAGGAGGAAAAGGCACTCCCTAGACACAGTGTCTCATCACTCATCACTTCATCCTCAGTAAAGGTAAGTGTCATTTATTCTTCATTTAGTGCACTAGTACATGCACAATATATATTGTGCATGTATCCTTCTTTTTGTGTGTAGGAAAATGTATATTTCATGAGGTAAAACAAAAAATTTTCATACTTTTGGGTGTCTTGAACGGATTAATTTGATTTCCATTATTTCTTATGGGGAAAATTAATTCGACTTATAATAATTTCGTCTTGCTATGTGCTCTCTGGAACGGATTAATATCATAAGTCGAGGGTCCACTGTACAAATGTCAATACCATATGTCAAAGTTGACATTTTAATCTAAAAACAGAGTCAGAGTTTTTTTTTCTCATTATGCACTGTGTGCTGCAGGATTTTTTTATTTTGCGCACACTGACCACACTGACCATTCTCTCACATGTAGGTCTACTAGCTTCTCCTGCTTGATTTGAAGCTGCTAAAATTTAGGGTATTACTACGTCGCCAACACTGGGTCATAAGACGTATCTATACGACACCAGCAGTGAAAGGGTTAAACATTTGCAAATGTTGTACATTACTTGGGTGAAATTTAAAGTTTGCTTTTCTAACAATTTTTTCTTTAGGGTTACGTGAATATTGTATGACCCTTGTGGTTTAGTGCTTAGTTCTGATTGTAATATTATTATTAAATGAAGATTAAATCATAAAACTGTGTCTAACCATTCACAGTTAACCTACAAATCTGAGGTGGGAAAAATTTTTAGTTGGCCTTGAACTATTATCAGGTTGTCTAAAATTTCCATTTTGCATTTATGGCTTGTGTAATATTATGTTTCTTATATTAAATACTCTACTGTATTTCTTTTCTTTCAGGAGGATAACAAAGAACATTCATTTGAAGTCAGTCTTTTTGCAGAATTATTCAATGAAATGCTAATGAGAGATTTTGCATTCCGTATCTACCGTGCCCTCTTCGAATGTCCTGAGAAACCCGCGAAGGAAGAAGTAAGGATAATTTGTGTATCCAAAACTTTTTCAGTTTGTAGTACATTGATAGACAGCAACCACCCAGGGAAGTACTACTGTCCTACCAAACGAGTGTGAGACAGAAATCTGTATTTGTTTTACATGATGTAGGAGGGCTGGTATTTTTTTTTTTTGTCTCATAAACATATAAGATTTCAGGTACGTCATACTACTTCTACTTACACTTAGGTCACACTACACATGCATGTACAAGCATATATATAACATGCCCCTCTGGGTTTTCTTCTGTCTTATTAGTTTTTGTTCATTTCCACTTATCTCCATGGTGAAGTGGAACAGAATTCTTCCTACGTAAGCCATGTATGTCCTAAGAGGCAACAAAAATGCTGGGAGCCAGTGGCTAGTAACTCCTTCTCCTGTATATATTACTAAATTTAAAAGGAGAAACTTTCATTTTTCCTCTTGTGCTACCCTGCCTCAGTGGGATATGGCTGGTTTGTTGAAAGAAGAAGAAACATACAAGATAACAGGTATATCCTGCCACTTTTACTTACACTTAGGTGACACTACACATGCTTGCACATGTTTATGTATATTCACTCACCTGAGATTTATTTTATTTTATTTTAATAGTTCTTGTTCTTATTACTTTATCTTTTATATCCATGGGGAAGTGGAATAAGAATCTTTCCTCCATAAGCCATGCGTGTTGTAAAAGTCAACTAAAATGCTGGGAGCAGTGGGCTAGTAATCCCTTTTCCCATACCGCTTACTAAAAATAAGAAGAAAACTGTCAAAGTGGGATGTTTGAATGTGCATGAATGTAGTGCGATTGATAAGAAAGAGATGTTTTGTAGATGTTATGAATAAAAAAGAAGCTGGATGTCCTGGCTCTTACTGAAACAAAGCTGAAGGGGGTAGGAGAGTTTCAGTGGGGGGAAATTAATAGGAGTAGGTCAGGGGTCTTATAGAGTTAGAGCTAAGGAAGGAGTGCAATAATGTTGAAGGATAATTTTATGGTGGGAAAAGAGGGAATATAAATGTTTTAAATTCAAGGATTATGTGGAGTAAAATAAGGGTTGGATGTGAAATGTGGGTTTTATAGTAAGTGTTTATGCACCTGAAGAAGAGTGAAGTGTAAGGGAGAGAGATTTTGGAAATGTTGAGTGGTACTTGGGGAGTTTTGAACCAAGTGGAGAAACTTGCGGTTGGATACCTAAATTCTAAAGTGGATAAAAATGTTGTAGAGGGAAAAGTAGTAGATAAATTTGAGATGCCAGGGGTATGTTTTTTTCTATTCTTCTGCTGAACAAGGGTTTTAGTGCCGATGGAGGTAGCGTAGGTAGCAATGATACGGCCGTGGGACTAGTTTGGTTTTTAATTGGGTAGGAGTGAGTACACAAGGGCAGTTGTGAGGGAAGTGACCGCAAGCCAGCCCGTGGAGGGGGAGCACTTGTGCCCTGTCAAATCGGTCGGCCTAGGAGTGAGAGGAGGCATGGGCCGGCAGGGTGGCGTGCCTACCTGAGGCCTGGCTACAGAGGGCAGCACCCGAGTGGCCAAAATTGAACTAAGCTGGCAGACAGCATGGGCTGTCTGTTTCAGGACAGTACAGGCTGTCTACAGGTAAATGAAAATGGGGGGGGGGCCTTTAATTGAACTATGTGTGCAAGAGGTTTGGAAATAAGTAATACATATTTTTGCAAAAATATGTATAGCATGTAATGAAAGTAGTTAGATTATGTGTTAGTGGATAAAAGGTTGATGGGTATGCTTAGGATGTGCATGTTTATGAAGGGCAACAGATATATCGGAGCATTGTTGTAGCTACAGTTTGAGTAAGAGGTAAATGGGAAAAAAAAATGGCGCAGAAGTAAGAGAGAGGTGGAAAGTGTTAAACTAAAGAGGAGGAGGAGGAGGAGGAGGAGGTTGGGGTGAATATAAGCAACTACAGTCTCTCCTCACTTGACGGAATTAGGGGCCTAAGACCCTGTAGGTAAACGATTTCCTCACTAGTCGAGGAATAAACCCCTTACTAACACTTCAAAAGCATCACCACCCAAAATTAAAACATTCAGTTGTATGTTTGCTGGGAAATTCCTTTCAGTCTGTTTATTATTAAGTGTAATACAACATGAAATAGGTCAGTGACTTACTTCCGAGATATTCCAGGAAACGCTTGCATAGCTGATTACTTGGCATTTTTTTTATGAGAAAATTGCACTTTTTCCAGTCTTTGCATAGGATAAGAGTGATCTTCTATAGTTACCCTTCAGGCACGTAATGTTTTCTTAGTTACTTTTTTTTTCCTTTTTTATCCCTCCCCGCCCTCCACCCTTCAATACCTCTCTATATAATATAAGTTTTTATTAATTTGGTCATCTTTATCATGCTTCTAAGTTATTTATGTTATACCTAATATTATTCTGGAATAAATATGATAGATAACATTTATTGATAGTACAGGTCCGCCATCACAAGCCCGGCAATCAGTTATTCGGCACTAATTTTGGCTAGCATAATTTCAAATTTCCAGGGTCGCCTCACTAACCTGCTGGTACTGTTTGGTGGCGCTACTTGCTGCATAAGTCATTATAATTTCTTTTTCTCCATTTATTGTTTTAACCTGCTTGCTTTTAGCCCTAACCATGGTTCCAGTGAATAAAAGAAATGCTTCCCTCTTTTATGTAAAGCCTTAAAACAGTACTTTATACCTTTTAAAGGGATAAGGGGGTTTTTTAAAAGGCCCTGTCGGTTGCCTTGAGTCAGTTCATGAAGGGGGAGAATAGCTTTATTATTCGAAAAATTATCAAAATTTAACGGGTTTTTTCCTATAAAACCAATTAAATTAAATTTGGCATAAAAAAAACAATATAAAAAATTAAAAAAATTTTAACCCCTTTCGGGGGTCCGTCCTGTAAAACTCGGTTTTGGGTTTGGGGGTGTCCAAACGTGATCTACCCCAAAAAATCCTAGCCCCGTAAAAAATTTGGCGCAAAATGGGGGCCATAGGCCTACTGGGAGAGAATGGGTCTGCGCCGTGGGTTGGCCTTTAAAAAAAAAATTTCTAGGCCCCTTGCATGCATTGTGGGAACCCCGGCTCGGGGTCACCCTTGTTCCCCATGCCTCTTCGCAAGTCAGCCTCACCCCCCGGGAAAAATTTGGGGAATTTTCCTTTTCCCTGTTGATGGTTTGACACTGAGGGAAAGTGGAAATAAAGACGAAATTTACGGCTTTTTTTTAAGTTAGTGACGAAATAAATGACCAGGATATCGAAAATAGTGAGGAAAACCCCGCGATCCTGGGCCCTTCCCCTTTTTGGGGGGTGGGAAACTCGTAAACCCCAAGGTCGGGTTTTTCCCTAAAAAGAAGAGAAAACAAATTTTTTTTTCCCGTGGCCAGGCCTTATTCATTTAATGACGATAAATTCTGCTTTGGATTGTGTTTTTTTTTGCGCTCGAGTCATTCGAGTAGTGTAGTGAGGAAACATTTCCCTTTTGAAGGTTGGTATGTTCGCCGCCGCTGGCGCTCGGGTAGTTTTAACCCTTTGCTGTCCCCGGGGGGAACGGAGTACTTTTCCCGGGTAAATCCGTGGCCCTACCCCCTTTTAGGTAGGATAGTGAGGTTGATGTGGCAACTTTGGGCTTGGTGGGCACGGGGCATCAGTGGAGGGTGTTGTGGGGCTGGTGGGGGTTTGGTGGAAACCCCCATGCGTAAATCACGTCCCACGGGGGGGCCCCTGTGGTTGACTCGTCAGTTAAAGGGGAACAAAGCGGGGGTTCACCCCCGGGCCCGCCAAAAACCACCCTTAAAAACCACCCTATGATGTCCAGTATCCACCCCCAAACCGTTTCGGGGAAATTAGCAGAAAACCCCCCAATTTTTTTCCCCAGCCCTCCCCCTTTGAGACTCTCAAGTGGAATTCTACCTACCTCCCCCCTTGGGAAACCCCACGCCAATAAAAGGGAATTTTTTTGGAAATTTATTCTTTGACCAGCCATTGAGGGAAATTTTTTTTCAGGGAAAGTAAAAAGTATTTTCGTACACCATGGAAAATTTCGTTCTTATCACACAGTCAAGATTTACACAGGTAAAAAGAGAGGGACTGTTCCCCGGGAAATGTATTTGTTTTTTGCAACAAAATGCTTATGCCTACGTCTAAAAGCAAAAATTAAAAAAAGCTTTTATGGTCCACAGTTTCGGATAATTTGTACCCCATCCTTCATTTAAAATTTAAAAACCAGTGAACGGGTTTTAATTTACGTTAGGGTATTTTCCCACTTCTTTTGAAAAAAACCAGGCTGACAGAAGGGGGACGGGTTATAAAGATTAGAAATTTTTTTCATGATCTAAAACAAAGTTCAGGTTTTTTTTTTATCCATTAAGAATCTTGAAATTTGGGAGGGAGTCTTTGTTTTTGGGTTAAAAGGGTTGGGATTTGCATTCAAGCAGTATTTCCCGAGAAAAGGGGGAAAACCGTTTTGGTTTAAAAAATTGGGTTTGTACTTGTGATTTTTGACAGGGCCCTGGGTTGGATATTTTTTGGTTACCGGGTAGTATAACTTGAAAGTTTCCCAAAGGTTATTGGGTTTCAGGTAAATTTATGTGTTCCCATGATGGCCCTTATCTTGGAAAGGGCCAAAACCTTATTTTTCCCGATAAACGGGTTTACACAACCCCAAATTACCCCGTTTTTTCTTGCGAGTGAAAAAAGACAAAAGTGTGTGGCCAGTGCGTTCAAATCTAAAAAATATCCCCGGGGCTCAAGGGCAGGTGTTTGTGGTGATGCATTGCAGGGTTTCGGGCCTTTTAAATTTCATGGCTTTAAATGGGGGCCCTTTGACAAACAGATGTCAAAAATTGTTGAAAAACCTTCACCGTAATAAAATTGCAACACAGGGGCCAAAAGTTGTTTCGATTTGACTAATAAAACTTTTTCGAAAACCATTTGTCAGTGATTGATTATACAAAAAACCCCCTTTGCGCTTGGTTGAAAAGGGGTGAAAATGCAGAGGGGGTTT